ACACTACCACTTTACCGTGTCCTGCTGCTCCCTCCGGGTCTCTCACTGGGTTTCACGTCCCCTCGTTCTCCCGGAACTTGGTGGGCGTGCGACCCCTTGTGAGTCAGCACGTGGGTGTGTGGTTTGAGCCTTCTGGAGAGACTGCGGTGTGTGTTGACGGAGACTCTTACCAGCCTCTTGCTACCTTTACTGCTGAGCCGGGCTCGGTCTCTACACTCTTCACACTGGCCCGCGTGCGCCGCAGCAACAGCCGCAGCAGCAGCAGCAGCCGCAGCCGCAGCAGCAGCACCAGCGCGAGACCAGCAGCCCCCCCTACTGCCACTGCCCCCGGTTCCCCCCCCCCGTTCGGGTCCCCGCGTCTCACCAGGTTGCTTCGTCCCCCTAGGTCTCTGTGTCGTGTCAGGTTCCTACGTCTGTTCCAGTCGCTGCGTCGTGCTCCTGCCGGTCGCTTGCCCACCCCACCGTTCTGTGGCACCACCGGATGGGGCACCCGTCCCTTCCTCGTCTGCGCGCTATGTCTAGTCAGCGTCTTGTCCTAGGCCTCCCACGTGTATTGCCGTCGCTGCCGCCTTCGCTTGCGCCGCCGTGTGGTCCCTGCGTCGAGGGTCGGCTGCGCGCCACCCCTCACTCCTCCTCCCTTCGTCCGGCCACCGAGCCTTTTGAGACGCTTCACTTGGACGTCTGGGGCCCCGCCCCTCGTCTAGGCCCTGAGCGTGAGCGTTACTTTCTGGTGGTCGTTGACGACTTCTCCCGCTACACCATAGTGTTCCCTCTGGCGAAGAAGTCTGAGGTGACTTCTACGCTGATCAGGTGGTTGCTCACCACCGAGGACACTCGTGGTCGTCGTGTCAGCTGTCTCCACTCCGACCGTGGGGGTGAGTTTCGCTCCGGCATTCTCGCTGGATTCTGTCGCGAGCAGGGCATTTGTCAGTCCTGGACGCTTCCAGAGTCCCCACAGCAGAATGGGGTTGCTGAGCGCCGCATAGGCCTGGTCATGGAGATCGCCTGCACCTCCCTGACTCACGCCTGTGCCCCCCATTTTCTGTGGCCCTACGCGGTCAGGTACGCCGCGCACCAGCTGAACCTCTGGCCACGTGTCTCTCGACCAGAGGTTTCACCGACCAGTCTTTGGACAGGGTCCCCTGGTGTTGCGTCGCGGTTTCGTGTCTGGGGGTGCTTGGCTCTTGTCCGCGACACCTCCGCGGACAAGCTCTCGCCTCGTGCCGTCCCCTGTGTCTTCCTTGGTTTCCCTGAGGACTCCTCTGACTTCACCTTTTACCACCCTCCCTCTCACCGGTTCTTTGACTCCCGTGACGTCCGTTTCGAGGAGTCCACTCCGTACTACGTCAAGTACCCCAGTCGAGGTCTCCCGGTTCCTCCTCCCCCCCTCTACCTGACTGCAGCCCCCCCTCCTGCTCCCCCGGTACAACCTCCCCCCCCCTGGTCCAGCCCCGTCAGGTGTGTCCCAGGCTACCCCTCCTCCTTCGGTAGCCCCTCCGGTACAGCCTCCCTCCCCACAGTCCTCCTCGCAGCGTGCCGCTGGTGCTAGCTCTCGAGATGTTGGTGCTGCGCCTGTTCCTGTACCGGTTTCTGGTTCTGGGGGTGCTGGAGTTGGAGCTGGAGTTGGAGCTGGAGTTGGCACTGGAGTTTCTGGTTCTGGGGGTGCTGGAGCTGGAGCTGGAGTTGGAGCTGGAGTTTCTGGTTCTGGAGTTGGAGCTGTCCCGGTGGGTGCAGAGGACTCTTGTCGTCCGGGAGTTGGTGCTGGTCGCGCGGCCACTGGGGGTGCTCCGTCTGGGGGTGAGGGTGCGCCTCCTTCGGGTTCAGGTGAGCCTAGGTCTGGAGCTGGTGTTAGTGCTGCCTCTGGGGGTGGTGCGCCTAGTTCTTCGGGGGTGGACTCTGGAGCTGCCGCTGCTTCGGACACTACTCCACCCCCCCACCCCTACCCGACTAGGCACCAGGCTCGTGTTCGTCGTGCCCGTGACGAGCAGCTGGCGTTGGAGAGAGAGGAGAGGGAGTTACAGCGGCTGGAGGAGCAGCAGCAGCAGCAGCTGGACCCGCAGGAGCAGCAGTCCCAGCAGCAGCCGCGTCCGCAGCAGCAGCAGTCGCAGCCGCAGCAGCAGCAGCCACTTCCTCCTCCTGTCTCGGGTCTTCGGACCCTTGGTCTCCCCTCCCCTTCTCCTCCCTCCTCCGCCTCTCCTCCTGTCTACGGTCCCACGTTTCCTCCTCCTGACTCCTCCCCCGCTGTTTTCCCCAGTTCTCCGCCCTTGTCCTCTTCTCCTTCGTCTCGTTCTTGGGCTACTCGTCGCTCCCCTCGTGCTCGTCCCTCGTCTCCTGTTCCCTTTACTGACCTTTGTACTGCCTTACTTTGTTCTAGTCCACCTCGTCCGTCTCAGTCTGTGCTTCCGTCTCCTCCTGAGTCGGCCCTCACTGTGTCGCTCCCTGCTTCTGTCACTGACTACTACCGCGCGTACCGTCCTGTTCTCTCTCGTGTTCTCGCCTCTCTTGTTACTCACCCTCGTGTCTCTGTGTCCTCTGTGTCCCCTCTTACTGCCGCAGTTACTGACTTTGCCTCTACCCGCCGCCTTGACTACGCCACCACGCTTGTGACTGCTCCTCCTACCAGTCCTCTGGTCGTCGGGGGTGTGTCTGCCCTTGGCTATGACGCCCTAGAGGACAGGCAGTTTGAGCTAGAGTTCCTGGCGGCCGCTTCCCCTCATCTCTGTGCCATGCTCCTCGCCCCTGAGGGTGACCCCGACGCCCTTGACATTCCGACTCCTCGCACTTACGCTGAGGCAGTGTCAGGGCCTTGGGCCTCTCAGTGGAGAGCTGCCATGGACGCAGAGATGGCCTCCTACAGATCCACAGGCACCTACGTCGATGAGGTTCCCCCCCCTGGGGCGAACGTAGTCGACGGCATGTGGATCTACAGAGTGAAGCGGCCACCGGGATCTCCCCCGGTCTTCAAGGCGCGCTACGTGGCTAGAGGTTTCAGTCAGCGCGAGGGAGTTGACTTCTTTCAGACCTTCGCACCTACCCCGAAGATGACCACTCTTCGGGTGTTACTACACGTAGCAGCACAGAGAGACTACGAGTTACACTCTCTCGACTTCTCCACTGCTTTCCTTCAGGGCAGCCTACACGAGGAGGTCTGGTTGCGTCGTCCCTCGGCCTTCACTGGCACTTTCCCTCCTGGGACCCAGTGGAGGCTGAGGCGACCTGTTCACGGTCTTCGCCAGGCCCCTCGTGAGTGGCACGACACTCTGCGTTCTACCCTCTCTGACCTTGGGTTCCAGCCGTCTTCTGCCGACCCGTCGCTGTTCGTTCGTCGTGGCTCCACACCGTTCTTTGTTCTGGTCTACGTCGATGACCTCGTTTTCGCCACTCCGGACAGGGTTGCTTTGGCAGACGTGAAGTCCGAACTGCAGAAGAGACACACGTGCACTGATCTTGGTGAGCTGCGCCACTACCTTGGCCTGCAGATCACCAGGGACAGAGCCGCTCGCACCATTACACTCTCACAGTCACACATGGTGCAGCAGGTCCTTCAGCGGTTCGGGCTTCAGCACTCCACCGTACAGCGCACACCTCTCGCTGTTGACCACAGACTCACTGGTCCCTTTCCTGACGAGCCGTTTGAGCCTAGTGGTCCCTACGCAGAGCTTGTGGGTTGCCTCATGTACCTGATGACTTGTACTCGCCCGGACCTCGCCTTCCCTCTCAGCATCCTTGCGCGCTTTGTTGCGCCAGGGAGACACCGTCCTGTTCACTGGACGGCAGCTGTGAGGGTGGCGAAGTACCTAGCGACTACATCAGGCGTGGGGCTAGTTCTTGGAGGGCAGCAGTCTGTCGTACTCACTGGTCACTGTGACTCCTCTTACGCTAACGATGCTGAGACTCACAGGTCTACTCAGGGGTACTGTTTCAGTCTGGGTTCTGGAGCTGTTTCCTGGTGTTCCACGCGCTCCTCTTCTGTCTCGACCTCTACAGCTGAGGCTGAGATTTACGCTGGTGCCATGGCGGCACAGGAGTTGCGGTGGTTGACCTTCTTGCTCGCCGACCTTGGTGAGCGGCCGAGCTCTGCACCGACCTTGTTTACTGACAACAAGGCGTCGATCCTCCTCTGTCGTGAGCCGCGACTGGAGAGCAGAGTGAAGCACATTCACGTCAGGTACTTTCTTCTGCGAGAGTTGCAGAGACGTGGACAGGCTCGCTTCGAGTTTGTGGAGTCCGAGGCCAACACTGCAGACATCTTCACCAAGGCGCTTCCGCCTCGTGACCACCAGAGGTGTTGTGTGCAGTTAGGCCTTGTTGACACAGGTTCTAGTCATGTGTAGGCTTGAGTTTATTGCCTGCTTCGTCTGTACTCTTGCTATATATACTTGTGATCTCTTGGACTGGCCTTGTGGCCACTGTTGCTTGTGCTCAGAGTGTGTGGTGACGTTGTGATCCACCCTGAGCTTTGTTTTCTTTTGGACTGGTCTTGTGATCGTACTCTTTTTGATTTTGCTAGACACCCCTCACTTAGGCTATGGGGGTGTGTCAAATGTTGTAGCCTGTAGTAAGGTTTGTCTTAGGGGGTACTGAAGTTAGGGTTTGTTATATGTACCCCAACCAACATCAATGGAACCATCATTCCTCATTCTGACAGCAAGAGCCCTGCTCTCTTACCCAGCTCACATTCACCCCCTTTGTTCCCCACTCTCATTTCAGAATACGGTAGATGCCATATGGGTCGAAATAAATGGAGGGATAACTTTTTTTTCTTGTGTACTTGGGATGGGGCTTCTTTTTTCAGGCAAATTAAACGTAGTATATTAAAAGCCTCCTACACATTGTATACAAAAGTTGGCATTTGTTGCCATTCAATGTATTGGCTTGCAATTTCCAGCATCCTTTACTACCGTATGTCCTATTAACAATGTTTAGGTATTCTCTTCTGAGTAAAGTCATTCCTGCGCTGTATATCAAGCAACACCTTGCTGCCCTTGACTCCTCGCCTCCTAGTCATCCTTACGCTTCCTCTTATCCCGCTTCTTGCTCTTCTTGTCATCTTTGCTGGTCGAAGCGGGTGGGATGGTTGGATTTGGTGAGGAGGACGAGGCATTGTTACCAGAGCCGTTGCCAGCAGTGAAGTTGATTCCATCACCACCGTTGTTGTCCACCTTCCCTCCCACACCACGCACCAGCACATTAGGGTCGGTAATCCAACCTCCCTGGTTTACATAGGCTATGCTGGAATACGGGGCTGCTTCTGACGCGGTTAAAATTATCGCTGTATCTTCCCACTTCGAGGTGTCGTAACCGGGACCGTAACACCCATACACTGCAAAGGTTACGTGTCTCAGCTTCTTGTTACCCTGCACGTAACCCCACCCCTCAGGGCGAACTGACCCTGATGCGAAATACGTGTTCACGAAAATCGTGGTGGAGTATTTACCCCAGGAGCGCGCCAAATAACCGGGCTTGATCGGGCCTTTCCCAAGCGGACTCAGGGAACCGCCGAGGATGACATAACCAGTGTCATCGCCCTTTTCGCGAGACTGTGCGAAGTAACCGCCACCCCAGTACACCAAGTTGAATTCGCAGTGGTGAAAGAGGGCCTTGGCGTTTCCGAACACAAAATCCACACGGCCCTGGATGACTGGGGAGTGCGGAACGAGGGGAAGGAGGGAGCGAAGAAGAAAGGTGGAATGATTAACCACCGCCCCAGTACAGTAGGCTGAATTGGCAGTTCTGAATGGGGGCCTTGACATTTCCGAATACGAAGTCCACGCGGCCCTGGATGACTGGGAAGAGCAGAACGAGGGGAAGAAGAAAGGGGGAATGAGTCAGTCTGAGATTGTGCGAAGTATCCGCCTCCCCAGTACATTAGGTTGAATTGGCAGTTGTGAAAGAGGGCCTTGGCATTGCCGAGCACGAAATCCACGCGGTCCTGGATGACTGGGAGTGCGGAAAAGAGGGGGAAGACGAAAGGGGGAATAAATTAGTCAATATACTATATTGAATTGGCAGTTGTGAAATAGAGCCTTGGCATTGCCGAACACGAAGTCCACGCCGCCCTGGATGACTGGGGAGAGCGGAACGAAGGGAGGCATACGGTAGCGGAGAAGAAAGGATGGATGAGTCAAGATGGAGGGGGAAGGAGGAATGCGTCAGGAGGGAACGAAGAAGAAAGGAGGAATGATGAAGCAGGAGGTGAGCGAAGGAGGATTGAGTCAGGAGGGAGCAAAGCAGAAAGGAGGTAACGAGTGAGGACATTGGCCCGTGAGCGAAAGGATGAAACAGAAACCTTCTTGATTCTGGGATGCAGTTACTGGGTGCTGTGGTTGTAAGTTAACGGCTAAGCATGGCTCACCGCAACAGCTAACGCATGGCTCACCGCAATTCTTGTAGTACTGGAGTCCTGATACCGCGTAAAGAGTGTCCTGGTACCCGAGGAACGTACACCCGAAATTTGAGACGTCTCAAAGACTTACCGCAATTCTTGTAGTACTGGAGACCCGATACCGCGTACAGAGTGTCCTGATACCCCAGGAACGTGCATCCGTAGAAAGCAACGCGGGTCCCAGCTGCTTTCACGGCCACGGCTTGGTCGCCCTGCCTGCAGTTCGTTGCACAGAGACGAGCAAGTGGAATAACGATGAACAAGTGAGCTGGTTGGGTCAACATGCAAATTGCGAAGTCAAATCGCTTTCACGGCCACAGCTTGGTCCCCCTGTCTGCCGGGTCGCTGCGCAGAGACGAGACTATAATTCGGTTACGTCAATGAGCAGATTGCGCACTGAATTTGCCGTTTGTGGGGCGTGTTTTGACCGTTAAAAGCCTCACGTGTCAAAAACGAGTGACAAGTGAAACGACCGGATGAAACGTCAGAGGCCATGGAACGGTGCAGACTTGTTAGTGTCAAAAACGAGTGACAAGTGAAACGACCGGATGAAACGTCAGAGGCCATGGAACGGTGCAGACTTGTTAGATTACATACCCGCCCTGCACGCCCGGTCCGTGCGCGTTTTCAAAGATGATGTTTGAGACGACCACGTCCGACGCGAGCAGTTGGAACGTTGAGCAATCGTTCAGGTTGGATTCCCCGGAGGAATTGGCCGCCGTGATCTTCGTGCCATTCTCGCCCACGAGCCCGATGAATCTCAGAGACGCGGGTAGCTGCGATCGTGCGAAGCGGCGGGCGAACATGGGGCAATTTCGAGAACGAGTTCGTTACAAGGAAAGACGGAGTGCCAATGAACTACGACGAACAAGGGGTCAGGATTTCCTCTACGGCGAGAATGAGGTAGTAATCAAGATGCTCTGTTGGGTACGGAGCAGATGCAACTTAACATGACTCGAGTGTGGGTTTAGGATGAAAATGATGAACTTACTATAGCTTGCTCGTTATACACCCCTGCTTTGATGAAAATGATGAAGTAGCGGCTTGCGGTACCAGACTTCGCAGCAGCAATTGCATCCTGTCAATGCAGGAAGAACAGGAGCGGCAGAAGGGGGGACGGTGGAGATTTCATCTCATTTCTGAGGTGCTTCATAAACTGTAGTTGACAGCAACCTGTGCTGCCCGTAAGTGTAAGACGAACAGGAGACGCACAAAGTGACCCTGGGGACACGTATTCGAACGACGACTGGGAAACGACCCAATGAGCCCAGAAATGTCGAATGTAACCGCGACTGCATAGGCCCCAGCGGCGTTGGTTATAAACGCCAATTGGAGCCGTGATAGGGATGCGCGATGCGAGAGGCGCTATGTGGGAGTACCTTAACGGTGCTGTAACCGCCGCTCCCGTCCTTCGCTACAACAATGTCCGCTCCCGTGCCTACTACTGCTGGACCCGCCACCTTCTGCCCTACAAGCCGTGGCGCTGCACTAGCGGAGCCGGCAAACAAGGCAGCCAGCAGCATCGCTGCGAGAAACAGGTGACGCAGCATGGCGGCGGCGCCAGTGGTAGAGATGGCGGATCGAACCTATAACGACCAATTTCAACCCTACGTACGAATGGCTCAATTTCTGTGATATCTAGTGGACGTTGGGTTCTGAAAGCAGTTAGCAGGTAGCTGGAGTCAGACTGTAACCTGGTTAAAAGGCGCCTGAAAAACGTAGTCGCACTGCAAGCTGATTTTACGGCGCCTAAAAAACTGAGTCGCACTGCAAACTGTTTTTAGGGCGCCTAAGAATCACGCTGAAAGCTATTCTGAGGCTCCTCAGAAAATGAGTTACACTGGAAGGAACGGACGAGGAGAGCATGAATGTGCGGTATTTATGATGCGATTAGGAGGAGCTAGTGGGAATTCGATAGCTCGCACCACGCCGCCATTAGCTTAAGGGCCATAACGAGAGGCTACCGTGGGGTGGTGGTTGGGTGGAGGGACGGGTTTACTGGGGAAATTCCCCGTAGCGCATCTGTCGCCTCTGCTAAGACGTTGTTCGGGGAAAGAGGTTGGAAGGGTGGTGGTATGTGTCGGTGCTTCCTGGTACAGTGACGGAATTCGAGCAGCATAGTTTGCTCCAGAGAGGAAGTGAAGTGCTTACCTCTTCATCACGATTCACGACTCACGACGCAATGTGATGTGCGCAATCCACCAAGCTGGTGAAATCTGGGTCGTGGCTCTCTATACTCGCCGCCATGTTTTACGATCGAGGCGCGGATTGAGAGTTCGCGTCGCACACCCAAAATTTCACCGAGCCCATCCATCCTAGAAGCCGTTGCGTTGCGTCTCCCTGATCGTAGTTGGGTATTGCATCTCGATCTCCCTAAACACAAGGGTCAAAGCTTGCACAAGATGAACTGATCGATGGTTCCCTTCCCAATGTCGTAAGTGTAATTCTTAGCGCAAACCTGATTGTGGATATACGGTGTGAGATATTATGACGGAAGGTTTATTTTTGTGTAATGTTGATCTTAGGCATTTGTGCCGTTGTTGATGTGTCACGGAATGCATCCATCGTGCCTGCTTTTTGGATGGATAGGTGGCCCTACCCCATTCTGTGTCAGGGGCTGCAAAGGGTGAAAAAGACGGATTCACCGACCAACCAAACAACCGACAGAACTATGGCCAACCTTATACTGTAAGACCCGCTTGCAACTGATGCAGTAATACGTATTATGCTCAAGAATCAAGTTATGCTCAACAGATTGCAGTAATAATGAATATGAATGGACGGGTTGTGCTTCTGAAGGGGATGGCTGAATATGTTCACGGAATATGTGAGATATTGTAAGGAGTTTTTCGGCATTCCTTACGGAGCCCGACTACGTCGCGTACAGCAACAAGCCATTGTTCGCCCGTTACTGCTAACGGGACTTCACCAACTTCGCGCGCACTGTTTGCCAAACCTCACAATGCTGGCCCGGCCGTGACGGCCTACGCTTCGGGACTAGCCCAAGCCTCACTGCCAGTATAGCACTAGCTAGCTCGCACGCACCGCATTACCGTTTGCATATCTCACATAGAAATGTTCGCTCATGCCTTCGCTCACATCTTTGTACTCGTTTGACACCTTAGTGCAAATCTCGCTACTTCGATTCATTGCACCCGTAACACTTGGTTATCAGAGCCCCTTTCTTTCGGACCGCGCATCTCCGCACCCCAGGAAATCAACTTTTGATTTTTCACTCGAATGGACTCACGTACCTTAGCACCTAGGAGCCGCTGTCCTCGCGTTCTCTCGTAAACGCGTGCAGCCACGACTGCGTCACTGCGCCTAGACTAAGACGAGCCGACGCCCTTCGAAATGGCTGAACACGTCGACGTCACGAATCTCACGCAGGAGCACTTGAACGATCTGCTGCGACAAATCCGCGAGAGCGCCGAGGAAATCGCGACGCTGACGGCAGAACGCTCGTCCCTGCAACACGACCTCACACGAGCGCAATCCCAAGCACCTGGCACTCCGATTCAGCCCGCACCACAAACATCACAGCACGGAAGTGTGGGGCAACCCGCGAGCGCCGCAAGTGATGGCGTCATCCGCCATGACGGAGACGACGACCACCGCACGACACACCCCGACGCGACGAATGAGGCCAGGACCCAGCCTCAAGTCACGATCTCAGTGCCGGCCGGCGGATCAACCCTTCCGTCGCCGATGCCGCTAAAGCCGCAGTGTCCGCCATGCTTTGACCCAAGTCAGCGGGGTGGTCCTACCGTTCAGGCGTGGCTCTTCAGATTGAACGTTTTCTTCGACGCGAACTACGTCTCGGAGGATACGGCGAAGATTCGTTACGCCGTGTCGTTGCTGCGAGGACCCGCCATGGACTGGTGGCGTGTCATCGTCACAAAGACGGCGGACTACGCAACTCTACCGACAAGGGAAGGACAAACCGGACCCTGGGCGCCGTCGTATTTCGTGGAGGTGCCCCAGTATCGCACGTGGGACGTGTGGTGCGCAGGTCTGCGCGCTCGTTTCGAGCCAATCGCGGCTTCGATCGCGACGCGACAGAAGCTCCGCACTTGGCGCCAACTCGGTTCCGTCCAAGACTACACGAGCGGATTTCTGGCGCTATGCGAGCAGGTGGGATATATGCACGAGAGCGAACGCATCGACCGCTACATTGGCGGCCTGAAGCAGGACATCGCTAAGGAAATCCAGCTTCGCGGCGTCACCGACTTTCAAGAAATTCTCGCTATGGCGGAGAAACTTGATTCCTTCCGCCGTCCGAGACCGGGGTCCTACGGAAGCAGCCACTGGGGACATCGGCCTTGTGGGACGAACGAGGGCGCCACGATATGTGCTGTCGCCGCAAATGCCGCTACCGCACCATTCAAAGGGCGCTGCTTTGCGTGCAATCGGCCGGGACATCGCAAGAGCGAATGCCCGGAAAACGCTAAGGGAAAGGGGGAAGCTGAGCAGCAGAAACAGACCAAGCAGCAGGGAAACGCTGGGAGTCATTATCAGACGGGCCCTCTACTGACAGGTCACGCCGCTCGCCCGACCCAACCGACCCTCACCGAGTGATTGTGCCGGTTCACGCAATCGACCACACCCGGCCGAATAAGGAGGGTACTACGGTGGACAGCCCCATACTACTTAGTGGGAAAATCGGGACCGACTTAGTAAAAATCTTCGTAGACGGGGGAGCCAACCACAGCCTCATCAACATTGCCACAACACGAAAACTGCGACTGCCACTGGACAGATGTTTACCTGAGATCGACGCAAGACTGGTAGACGGCACGCCGTTGGCGATACGGGAACGCGTAGACCGGGTTCGGATTCGATGTGGGGATAACTTCACGTTTAGCCAGGAAATGCTCGCAACGACCCTCGACGGAACCGATATTTTACTCGGGCGTGATTGGCTGCGACGACACAGTCCGCGGTCGACAATCGGGAAGCCGAGGCAGCAGACAAAGGAGGGGATTTACAGAAACTGCTGGCCGACGTACCGAGTGATGTGGCAGCACTGTTGAAGCAGTACAGTGACATCTTCCCGGACGATTTACCGACGGGACTGCCACCTCAGGGGCCGCACAACCACAGGATAGAGTTAGAACCGGGGGTACAACCAACAGTACAGCGACAGTTCCGACTGGCCCAGCCCGAACTGGACGAACTGAGGAAGCAGCTCGATTACATGCTCGAGAAGGAATTCATTCGCCCTAGTTCGTCACCCTTCGCAGCACCGATACTGTTCACACCGAAAAAAGACGGGGGATTTCGCATGTGCATAGATTACAGAGCACTGAACAAGGTTACCATAAAATCCTGTTACCCCATCCCGATATTGAAAGAGTATCTTAGGCAAGATAGTAGGAACCCTAGGTATGGCGAGAGTAAGGAACGAGAGTCGAGAGAGAAGGCCAAAAAGGGGGAGATTCAATATTGAGCGAGGGTACAAATAGGAAAGAACAAACAAGAAAGGTGCACCACCAAATAGGAAAACGCTATAACTACAGTAACCAATCCTACAGGCAGTTACATATAGAAAATATTAACTTATATTTTCCAACACGCCCCCATAACTGGCTATAGGAGATGAGTATGCAGTTAGCGCCCTGTGAAGGGGTACATCACGATTGCGCAACGGAAATCGCAGCAACAAGCAAGTGCAGTGGCAACCACTGCAGTGGTGGCAGATCCAGCTGTAGCGCACCCTGGGCCAAGGCAGAAGCAGTAGCAGAAGTAGGGGCGGCAGGTCGCCTGAGGAGCAGGCTCTGTGGCTGCAACGTGCAGCAGGACAGCAGCGGCTCGACGGCAGCACCTGCAGGCCCCAGCAGTAGGAAGCAAAAACAAGGACAGGCGGCGGCAGGGGCGACAGCTAGAGGTGCCACGGTAGCAGCAGGCGGCAGTAGCAGATGCTTGGCTGACTTCCGCCACCCTCTCTCACCCTCCCCCTCACAGCAGCACGCGCGGCAGTGAGTAAGAGAGGACGGGTAGCTGCAGATGCAGCACAATCTCTCTCGCCATCCCCACACACTCCCCCCCCTCCCCCACAGCGACCGGCGCTGCAGGGAGAGAGAGAAGAGAGGAGGGCGTCGGCTGGTTCCTGCGGGTGCACTCCCGCCACTCCCTCACCCTCCCCCACACAGCGACAGTCGCGTATGGGGCGTTAAAGGGTGACGGCAGGTGCTGCTGGCGGCTCACAGTGGCCACCCCGTCACACTTCCTCCTCCGCTGCCCGCCACGCCCACGACCTCCCCCCGCAGCAGGAGCGCGCACGGCAGCAGCAGGTGCGACAGTTGCAGCGAGACCGGCGGGAGGGTGGGCGGGGACAGTGGCTCGGACACGACGAGCGGGACAGAGGGCTGTAACGGAGGTGCGACTAAGCTGCGACGGGACAGCGTGGCCGCGAACGACGAGGCGACGAGGCAGCGCGACGCGCAGAGTGTCAGAATATTATAGCTTATACATTTTGTGTAGGCTATAGTGGGGCATCCCATAGGGGGTACAACCCAATTAGGGTTAGTACTTGTACTCTCTTCTTTCA